CCCACTCGGCCGAGCGGGGGGCCGGCACCAGCCCCATCCGCCCGTCGGGCGAGATCAGGGCGTCCGACGACATCGCCACCTCGTCGCCGACGGCGAACCCCAGGGACCCGTTGGCCACTGCGATCACCCAGCGGCCCTCGGGCGCGGCGGGCCCACGAACCTCACGCTCGCGCTCCCTCGGGGTGAGAGTCCCACGGACCTCCCCCGCCGCGCCCGCGTCGCCGATCGGGGCCGGCATGGGCCCGGCGCCGAGGTCTCCGCCGCCAGCTCCGCCAGGTGGATGCATCACCGGGCCGCGGCGACGCTCCTCCGCGCTGGCCACGCGGTCGGCCTCGTCCAGCAACCTCTCCCACTGCCGTCCCTGGGGGAAGGCTCCGAAGTTGTAGGTGCTCTCGCCGCCGATCTCAATCGGTACGCGCCCCGGCACCGTCTCCCACGCCACCGCCACTATGTCCGGGTTCCGGTAGGGCTGCAAGTCCTCGATGTAGACGTCCCCGTCCGGCGTCAAGACGACGTACTCCCCCTGAAAGCACCGCAGGCGCGCCAAGATCAACCTTTGGTGCCACAAGGGCGCACCTCGGACGCCGTACTTCACCCACGCCACGTCCTTCTCCTCCCGAGACGCCATCCTTGGAGTCGAGCGGCGCCGGCGAGCTCCTTGTCACACAGAACCGCACCAGCAGGCTGAGCACCCAAGCTAGGCCCACGATCCCGACGCCCGTCAGCAGGCCGGCCACGAACGGCACCCACCAGCTGCACGACGCCACGTCATTCGAGCACTCCTCACCTGCCTCGCAGGCTGGACACGAGGGCGCCTGTGGACACTGGGTCGCGTGGCACGCCGGGCACTGCAAGTCAGGGCAGTGCAGATTCGGACAGGGAGGGATCGCCGGGCACGAGAAGGTCGGGCAGCTCGGCACCGGCGGGCACCGCAACAGCCAACCGTAAGTCGCCTGTGAAATACCGGCGACAGCTGTGACCAGCAACTCCGATGCCATCCGCCGCGCGCCAGAAAGCGCGCTCAGAGCCTTGAGCCCAAACGGGTAAGGACATGGAGAACAAGGGTCATCCTCACGGATTCAACGGCCTTCCTGAACGAGCTCCGCTCAACGCTAGAACGATACCAAGGTGATCTACCAATATATATATATATATATATATATATATATCGTGTACGTATACATGTATGTATATGAACGCATGTGTGTGGATGTGTCTATATATATATATATATATATATATATATATATATATTTCTATATGTATACCTATAAAAGTACAAATATACATATGGATGCTGACTCTGGAGTGGACAAGAAACGCCCCCATTGAATCCGCTGGGGGGGTTGGGCACGTACTGTCGGCACCGGTGGAGGGGGGTTAGAGGAAGAGGAGGAGGATGAGGAAGGGGAGGAGGACAGATGGGCGGGGTTTGGCAAGCTCAGTCGGGAGGTTAATCACCCCCCATGATCAAAACCAATCCATAGTATGTATAAGTCAATGCCTATCTAATAGAATAAGAAAGATTGTGTCGATCGACGTGTCCGTATCTCCACCTGTCTATATATCTAATGTGTGTATGTACGAGTGTACAAATGTATGTCTATCGACCGTTACGTACACATATTCATATAGCAGTATGCCCATATGTCTACATCTATGTATCTATGTGTCACTGTATCGGCATCCTGGTCTACATAGTTAGCGATCGGTCGATACGTGTGGAGGTACATTTCGTTATATCTGTATGCATGTAGATGTACAACAGCATGTAGACATACATGTGTATGGTCTTATCTACATGTGCATACTGTCTTCATAGATTACTCAGTATGTGTATGCCTACGCATGCAACTATATATATATGCATGCGTATACGTAGAGGTAGAAGTATCGTATGTATACCCGATATGCACATACATGATAAAGTATGACTACGCACACATACGAATCTGCAAACATTCCAAATGTAGATGCGCATACGTATGTCTCAATATACATGCACATGTATATGATGAAGAAAGCTGTATGCAGGTATACCATTCGACCGGTATGTATACATATATATATATATGACTGCAGAGTTAACTTTATCCACATATATAGATTAGAACCACGCGCGCGCTTCGCGCGCGCTTAGGTTCTAGTCATGGTTGTATTAAGTTTTGCAGCTTTCGTTCTCGTCCGTCATGGGCGGCGACACTGGGACGTTCGCCGCACGTGGCCGTTGCAGAGCCTCCATTCGCTTTGCTCCCCTCCCCCTCCTCCTCCCGCATCGTCGTCGTCGTCTTCGTCGTCGTCGTCCTCCTCGTCCTCGTCCTCCCCCTCTTCCTCATCCTCCCCCTCCTCCTCCTCCTCCTCTTCCTCGTCCTCATCGCGCCTCTGCTCCCGCCCCTGCTCGCCCTACCTCTTTCTCTCTCCTCCCAGTTACTGCACGTGCATTCCCCCTCGTGCTCTTCATCTTCCTCCTCCTTTCCCTCCTCTCGCCCTGCTTCAAGGCTGCACGAATTGAGCCAATCAAGCTACGGGGGAGCCTTTGAGGCAGTCTTGGAGCGTCGGGAAGCCGGAAAGGCGGGAACGTGAACAACTTGCAACAATCTGGAACTTGCGTCTCTTGGGGCCTCTTGGGGGGGCCTCTTGGAGCTCTCTTGGAACGTATTGAAAGCGTGCTGTGCCTTTTGGAGGCTCTCTTGGAGCGTCTTGGGGGCGTCCTTGGCCGTCCAGAAGCCCTCATGGGCGTCTGGAAGCGATTAGGCAGTGTTTCGGCGATTCCTGAAGCGTTCTTGGGAGCCTCTGGAAGTCTCTTGGGCTTCAGGGAGCCTCTTGGGCTGCTGGGCGCTCTCTTGGGAGCCTATGATGCCTCAAGAGGCGCCCAAGACGGCCTCACGGTGGCTCCAAGAGGAGCCTAAAAATCAGACCACGAACTCTGAATTCCATGCCTTCCGCTCAAAGAGGAGGACAACGAAATGGAATAGGAGGAGGAGGAGGAAAATCAAGAGGAAGGTGAGGACAATGGAGACGAAGAGAAGCGGAAGAGGAAAGGGAGGAGGAGGAGGAGCAGGAGGGAGAAGGAGGAGGGGAAAGGCTGAGGAAGAGGAGGAGCACGATGAAGGGGGGAGCAGACGAGGAGGAGGTAGAGGTGCGTGAGGCGAAGGAGGAAAAGGAGGGTTATGAAGAGTGCAGCAGGGACCTCTTCCCAGGCGCGCGCTCTGGTGCTAGCTTGTTGCGCCCCCGGGGGGGGGGGGCAAATCCTGCTCCCCCACCCCAACAAAGATCAACGTGGACCCCCGCACAGCGAAGACCACGCTGACAGGCTCAGCCTCCCTGAAACCTTGATGTCAGTCTACCAGGAGCAGGAGGAGGAGGGAGGAGGGAGGAGGAGGAAGAGGGGGAGGACGGAGGATGAGGAGGAGGGAGGATGAGGCAAGAGGAGGGTGAGAGGAAGATCAGGAAGGGGAGGGAAAAGGGAGGAGAAGAGGAGGAGGAGGGAAGAGCAGGAGGAGGAGGAGGAAGATCAGGAGGAGGGTGATGACGAGGATGAGGAGGATGAAGGGGAGAATGATGGAACAGGTTGGAGCAGGAGCAGGACGAGGAGGAGGGGATGAGGGGAAGAAACGTCCTCTTCCTCCTCCTCTCGCGGGTTTCTTGGAGGCAGGTTAGAAGCCTCTTGGGGGACGCCGTGTTGGACCCTCTGGGGCTTCGTTTGGGCCTCTTGGGGACCTCTTGGGGCCCTCTTGGAAGCCTCTTGGGGCCCTCTTGGGGGCATTTGGGGGCCTCTTGGGAGCCTCCTGGGGCCTTCTTGGGTCGGGCTCCCCCTCTTGGGCTCCTCTTGGGGCGGACTTGGGGCCCTCTTGGGCTGTCGTGGGAGCCGCCTGGGCCGTCTTGGCGCCCTCTTGGGCCGTCTTGGGCGCCTCTTGTGAGTTTCTTGGGCCTTCTCTGGGCGGCTTCGGGGGCCTCTTGGACCGTCTTTAACGCCGTGAAGGCCGGAAAGTCATGTATGCAAAAATGTACGTTATCCTATTGAAAATCAAAGGTTTTGGCCTCTTGGAGCCTTCTTGGGGCGCTTCTTCGAGGCCTCTTGGGCCGTCTTGGAGGCCTCTTGGGCTGCCTTGGAGCCGTCTTGGGCATCTAAGAGCGATCTTTGGTCGATTCGGGGCCGTTGGGGAGCCGTCTTGGCCGCTTCCCGGGCCCAAAAAAAGCATGCGGGCCTGTTTGGGCGGCCCGGCACCCCCATGGAGGACCAAGGCTGCTGGGCCGGGCCCCCGTGTCCCTGTCTCCCGGAAAATAAAGATGCGTGTGTATGCGTACGTTCATATGTGCATACATCTGCAGAGAGATATATCAATGCATCTCTGTGTATACATGTATATATATGTATATTGTATATATACACACACATGTCATCAGCATCGGACCATCACACACATGCTCTCCTCCTTGCGCCTTCCCGGCCCCTCCCCATCCTGAGTCCCCTGGTCACCCAGCGCCTCCTGCATCGCGCGCGCGCGCCCCATCTGCACACCAGCCGCCACAAGTGGGGGAGCTGCAGAAGGACGCCGGCAAAGAGGAGGACGGGGACGCCGACCAGGAGGACGACGGCGACGAGGAGAAAGGAGAGGAGGGTCGAGGGCTTCGAGAAGTAGGAGGTGGAGGATGAGAGCAAGAAGAAAGAGTGGAGAGGAGGAGGAGGAGGAGGAGGAGGACGAGGAGGAGGAGGAGGAGGTGGAGGACGACGACGGCGGGAACGATGAGGAGGAAGAGAACGACGGCGACGACCAGGAGAAAGACGCCGATGCCCTGGAGGAAAAGGACGATAAGGAGGGCGAGGATAAGCACGAGGATGTCGAGGAGATCGACGAGGTCGGCGGGGAAGAGGATAAGGAGGACAACGACGACGAGAACGAGGACAAGGACAAGGAGATCGAAGAATATAAGTAGAAGGACGAGGACGTCGAGTAGGTCGAGGGGGAGGGAAGACGGGAGAAGAAAGCGGTGGGCGCCTGTGCAGCAGCGGCAGGTCGTCGTCCACCCAGTCCAAGGAGGACAGAAGGAACTCTGTGCTCGCAGACGAGCCAGCCTACGCGAGAGACGACGACGACGACGACGCCGACGACGACGACGACGCCGACGCAGACGCCGACGAAGCCGCCGCCGACGACGACGACGACGAAAAAGCCAAATCTTGAGACCGAGACGAAGGCGACGACGAAGACGAAGTCTAGATAAGACGGAGACGAACACGCCGACGACGCCGACGACGACGAGGACAACGATGACGACAATGACGACGATGCGTATGGCAACTGCGTAGTGATCAAACAGCTTAAGACGCGGAGAGGGAAGAGACCGTTGTCCTGAAAGGAACGGGTCCTGATGGGAACGGGTCCTGGACAGACGGGCAGCACCCTGGGACCAGCTCTTCATCTTCGGACACACAAATAAATACACACAAATAACAAGATTCCCCATATTTTCCCATATTTTCTGGGGTTCCGTCTTCCCCCCCACTTCGCATATTTCCCATATTTTCCTGGGGAGTCGACGATTCATTGTGTCTGTGTGTTTCTTCCCCTCCTGAAGCTCTTCATCCTGAGTACTTGCTCAAGTGCCCCGGGACCCGTCGAGGGCCCTGGACGGCCGAAGACAACCAAAATAGCTGCGCGTTTGCCCTCAGGGCCCCCTCGGGCGGATCTGGTGGCCCCCTTGGGTGGCGACCCCACTTCGGCGTGGCTCAGCAGCCGACGTCGTGACTCCTGCACGGCGTGGCCCCCACGAGGTCTGGACCCTTCCCCAGGGCCGGTGCGTTGGCGGTCCCAAGGCCCAGTGAAGGCCCCCAAGGGCCGAAAAAAATCAAGAATCTCATGTCCCGTCTCGACGTTTTCAATTGTTCAACCCGCGGCCTAGGAAATCCCAGCCGTCTGCTGGGGGGCAACGTTTCGCCCCAGATCCGTTGTTGGTGGCCCCCAGGCCCGATAGCGGGCCCCAGAGGGCCGAGAATCAAAGAAAAAACGCAGGTGCACAAAAGTCATGTCGTCGGAGATCTGGCCTTCGAGTGATTTGGGGGTCCTCACTTGAGCCCACGGCGGCCGGTCGGGACGATCCAAGCACCCACGGAACGCTCTCGGCGAGGCGCAGCTGCTGGAGAGCACCCGAGGCGAGGAAACCTCCGAGAACCAAAAACAATCTTCGAAAGCGTTTGACCCTGACACAGCCGAACTCAACGAACCGACCGACAGGTGACCGTTGGGGAAAACTCAGGGCTACCCAGGAAGCTCTCGGCGAGGCGGAGCCGATGAAATCGGCGAGGCGGAGCCGATGAAAACCACCCCAGGGCCCGGAAACCTCCCAGAATCTCGAACGCAGGAAACTGAAAAAATCGAACACCAAAGCCTCCACTCGTAGGAAGCCCACGAAGCACGCACGCGCCCACCCACGTACACGAATACGGCCCGCCAGTCCACGAGCTCAGCCACAGAAGAACGTTCGCAGAATGCACGCTTTCGAAATCAACGTTTAGGTCGGGCCTGTCCCCCTACAGGGGGATTTTGGGCGAAAAATGAACAATACACAAAGAATGCTCAAAAGATGCCCAAAAATATTCAAAAAATAGTCCCCAGACTATTGTTTAACTATTTTTGAGTTTTCCCCCCGTACAGGGTCAAGCCCGACTTAAATCAACGTGGATTCGTGTGCGTACACGTCCTTCTTTCGCTCCTGAGTTCGGCACACCTGCCAGCCGTGGCTCCCCCTCGTCGGGGGCGACGATGGGGGCGAATAGCCCAGGGGAAATCAATCCGTGTTTCCAAGGGCGCCGATGGTCCATGCCTTCGACGAGGCTCCCGGGCGAATACGTGAAATGAGTAATGCCCGCCCCTGGGCTATTCGCCCCTATCGTCGCCTCCGACCTCGTCACTGCACCGACCTTGCAGACGTGCTGCAGCGGATCTTGGCATGGATTTCTGTCAATACAGAGCCCAGAAACGGCTATCGAAAAACGAAGTGAACCTCGCGTGGATTAATTGTATTCTTCACTCCCGTCCAAGAATATCCGCACGAAATTAACTTCGAAATCCGGAACGACAATCCCCAGGACAATCCGGGCCCATCCATCCAATTGGGCGATTTCGGAAACCCGGGCGCATCTTTACTTCCGCCGTCTTCCGCTGCCTTCCGCCGGCTTCCGCCGGCGGAGGCGGCCTCGTTTTACTTCCGCCGGCTTTCCGCCGACCTTCCGCCGCCTTCCGCCGCGGAAGAGATGTCAACTCCTTCGACCCTCGAAGGCAAGGTCCTCTTTGGAACGCCTCGATTGCTTTCCGAACGAGATCCGCTCTGCGATGTTGGCGCCATGGTAGAGGCCCCCTAGGTGGGGTCGGAGTAGATAGGTCTGGAGGATCGCGCCGCATCGTCGACACATCGGCGATACGTCGGCGATGCATCGCCGACGACGGCGACGCATCGGCGACGTCGGCGTGGAGAAAGCGGGCTCCGCGTCGAGCCGCAGCGTCGGTGCATCGGCGATGCGGCGCGATCCTCCGACCCTCGCTACTCCGACCCCATCTGATGGGCCTGATTTCCACCACCGCCACCAGAAGTTGGAGGGAGAGGGGGGCCTCCTCCTCCTCCTCCTCCTCCTCCTCCTCCTCCTCCTCCCTCCTCCTCCTCCTCCTCCTCCTCCTCCTTCTCCTCCTCCTCCTCCTCCTCCTCCTCCTCCTCCTCCTCCTCCCTCCCCCCATCCAACTTGTGGCGATGGTGGTGGACAACAGGCCCATCACCATCTGGGAGGCCTAGACGTGAGGCCCTGGGGCCGGCCGCGCCTCCGGGTACACGCGGCAGGCGCCGCCGGCGGGCGGCGCGTCGACCTCGAGGGCCCCGGCCGCGAACACGAACACCCCGTCGGAGGACTCCGCGAGCCTCCGGCCGCGGCGGCGGGGAGACGGGAGACCCAGACCTCATCGCGTCAGGAGAACAAAAGAAAAAAACACGACGAGAGGTCTTTCGCGACCTTTGGGCTCCCGGGGCCCTTCCCGGGCCTCGGGACCGTCAGAGAACAGCGCAGGATGAAAGACCGGTCCCTGGGGAAGGGTCCAGACCTCTGGGGGTCGACGTGGTGAAAAAAACACGACGTCGGGGGTCTGGGGGGGAGCGAAGAAGTCTTTGTCGTGCACAGGGGGGGGAAGGCTTCTTAGAGCGCCAACCTTTTTGTTCGCGACCATGACGGGCGTTCTGGGGGGAGGAGGGGGGGGGTCCAGGGCCCCCCCCCCAGACTGTAGTGCCGGACGCACTGCGGCAGTGCCAGGGGCGCACTGAGGGGGGGAGCGTCAAGTTATGGGGTGGGTGGGGCGGGAGGGGGAGGGTAGGGGGGCATAACGCGCGTTTTGGCCCAACGGGTGAAACAAAAAAACTCTCTGAGAAGGAGGCTGCTTCTTAGAAGGCACCGGCCCTGTAGATCTACAGGGCAGGCCCGCGCCCGCGCGTCTGCTAAGAAGCAGGGGTGCTTCAAATAAGCCTTCCCGGTTCCCCCTACCCACCCTAGGCAGAGGGATTCCGTCACGTGATGCGAAGTCCCCTCCCCCCAACTGCTCCTCTTCCTCCTCCTCCTCCTCCTCCTCCTCCTCCTCTCCTCTCCTCCTCCTCCTCCTCCTCCTCCTTCTCCTCCTCCTCCTCCTCCTCCTCCTCCCCTTTCTCCTCCTCCGTCTCCTCCTCCTCCTCCTCCTCCTCCTCCTCCTCTCCGCCTCCTCCTCCTCCTCCTCCTCCTCTCCTCCTCCTCCTCCTCCTCCTCCTCCTCCTCCTCCTCCTCCTCCTCCTCCTCCTCCTCCTCCTCCTCCAGATTCGCATCACGTGACGGACCCAAGTCGCCGACCCCTCTGCGCGTGGCCGAGGTCTGGGCGCGGGGACCTCAGCATGGGGGAGGCGGGTCCTGAGGGAAGCGGGCCCTGGACCCCGTGGTGCCCTTCCCCAGGGCGAGCTTTTCATCCAGAGCCGTTTGCTGGCAGGGCCCCAGGGCCCGTGGAGGGCCCCGAGAGCCCGAACACGGCGAAAAGACCCAGGGCCCGTTTCCATCAGTAGACGAGCGCGTTCCACTACTCGCAAAGTAGCTACTCGCAAATGGCCTGGATCCGCCGCGGGGGCTCTACGATAAATTGCATCGAGGCAGACACGTCTTTTTCGGGCGTTTGCGAGTATTGAAACGCGCTCGGTGAATCAGGACCCATGTCCCCCATGGCGACATGCATGTTCGGAATTTGGTTGCCGGACTCTGGCACACGACGGACACAGCTTCGACGCTGAGGCCACCGTCCTCAGACGGCCCCAGGCGCCGCCAGGGCAGCCGCAGAGCACCCCCGAGGGTCGGCGGACGTTGCGCAAGCCTTCAGAAGGCCAAGGACCCGCTTCCCTCAAGACCCGTTTCCCCCCGTGGCGAGGGGCGAAGGGGGCAGAGCAAGGCCAGGGAAGCCCCCAGGATTCCCAAGGAGGCCTCCACGGCCTCTGGAGCACTCCTCACGAGGCCCAGAGGGCCCCACGGTCTCAAACATGGAACGAAAAGCTGAGGGCACCTTGGGCCAGGGGCACCTTGATTCCGAGTTTAATAAGCGTCGGGGGGGGGGCATTACCCCCGCCGACAGCCCCACATCGGCCCCCATCGCGGGCAGCCACCGCGCGCCAGAGGCGCTCCGACCCTCGTCCAGGCGCGACGACGAAGCGAGGTTGACCCTCGTCGGAGGGGTACCCCCCCACGCCTATTGAGAAACCCAGGGTAGCCGTCAGCAACCCCCGAAAAGGGAGCGCTGGCAGGCAGCGGAGCGCCAAGCCTCGGCCTGCTTTTTTCCCTGGCCCTGCCCTGGGGCCCAGAACTCAAGAGGGGGCGAGGACCCGGGCCTCCTCGCGTCGTGAAGCTGAGAGCAAGCAAGACCCCCTCGCGCGGTGAAAAAAACACGACGGCAGGTCTTTCTCGACTTTTGGGCTCCGGGGGCCCTTCCCTCGGCGGCGACGACAAGGACGAATAGCCCAGGTGCGGGCATACACGTATTCGCCCGGGAGCCTTGTCGAAGACATAGATCATCGGCGCCCCTGGATACATGTATTGCTCTCCCCTGGGCTATTCGCCCCTTTCGCCGCCTCTGATTCCTGGGCCTCGAGCCCGTCAGAAAACGGCGCAGGATGAAAAACCGGTCCTGGCGAAAGAGTCCAGACCTCTGGGGGTCGACGTGGCGAAAAAATCACGACGTCGGGGGTCCGAGTAAGGCGAAATGCTTTTGGCCGCTTGCGACACAGGCAAGAGCAACCATCTCGGGGGCCGCAAGGGGACCGAGTCCAAGCGCGCAGCCAGTGATGGGGGACCCAGACCCCCGACGTCATGATTGTTTTACATCGTCGACCCCTGGAGGTCTAGACCCCTTCCCCGGGACCGGCTTGTCATCGACCCCGGGACGTGTTCTGCCGGTCCCAGGGCCTGGCAAAGGCCCCAGAGGCCGAAAAAGGCAAAACCGTCCGTCGTGCTTCCTCTCCGACACGAGAGGGTCGAAACAAATCACTCTGGCCAGTCCTGCTCAAAAGCGTGCGGAACGCTGGCTCGAGAACGTGTCCCAGAACACAGCCCTGCTCATCCTCATCACCAGCAACATCACCCCTTTGTCAACATGGTCAAGGTCACCACCGTCGCCACCACCAGCTCCACCGCCACCACCACCACCACCACCACCATCATCATCATCATCATCATCATCATCAGCAGCAGCAGCAGCAGCAGAAGCATCAGCATCAGCATCATTATCAGCATCAGTATTATCATCATCATCATCATCATCATCATCATCATCATCATCATCATCATCATCATCATCATCATCATCATCATCATCATCATCATCATCATCATCATCATCATCATTATCAGCATCATCATCATCAGCAGCATCATCAGCATCATCATCATGAAGCAGCAGCAGCCCATCATCATCATCATCATCATCATCAGCATCAGCAGCAGCAGCAACAACAACATCATCATCCGCCTCATCATAGTGATCATCCTCATCAGCAGCAGCCTCATAACCATCAGCAGCATCATCATCACCACCACCATCATCAGCATCATCATCGTTCTCCTCCTCCTCCTCCTCCTCATCATCATCATCATCAGCATCATCATCATCATCAACGTCTTCAATCTGGCCGTCATAGCATCAGCATCCTCATTATCACCGTCAGCATCATCATCAGTATCATCATCATCTTCTTCATCAGCATCATCATCATCATCACCGTCATCATCATCATCAGCATCGGCATCATCATCAGCATCCTCATCAGCATCATCATCATTACAATTAGCACCATGAGCATCATCATCACCAGCATGTGCAGAATCGTCATCATCATAATCATCATCATCATCAGCAGCATCATCATCAGCAGCATCACCACCATCATCACCATCACCATAATCATCAGCATCATCGTCCACACCAGCATCAGAATGATCGTCATCACCATCATCATAATCAACCGCATCATCATCAGCAGCATCAACATCATTATCATCGTCATCATCATCACCACCCTTCCGCTCCAAATCTTCTACAAACAAAACTGTGATGGATAGAAACGGTTGCCCTGCGACACCTGGGCCAATTGCCTGCAAACCTACCCGGCGAACGCCAAGCTAGCCTCGTAGGCAAGGGCCGCATCGGGCCCGCATCCCAGGAGCTGCTGGATAAACGCGGGGCAGACACGAGGAGGGAAATTGCCTGAAAGATCGGCGTAGCTGCATACCAGCTCGGAGGTGCCCCGCGGAGACAAGAGAACATGTTACCAGAGATCGCACTCTCTAGCGTTCAATATCATGCCCCCCAACGCCCTGCAAAAATAATGCAACGCCGCCTGCCCCCGTACCCCCCCCCCCGAAACCACTAGAACGCCCAGAGTACCCTTGGACCGACCCCCCCAAGAGTGCCCTTCGACCGCCCCCCCCCCCCCCGAAAAAACACGATGAACTCGACCCCCTCGATCGACGACGACGACACGACGACGGTAAAGTTTTTGTAACTTCTGCAGCCCAATGCAGCTTCAAACTTCGTAGGGGCGGCTGAAAGGACCATTCTGCGGCCCCAGGGCCTCGACCCGCTGACGCGTCGCAAGACGTTCGAACGTTCGCCCCGCAATCAAGCAAAGTGTGTAGTACAACTGTTCTGAACTGCCAGCTTGGCTCGCCAGCTCATGGCGGCCTCAGGGAGAGAAGGAGCAGAAGGAGGGCCACGGACTTTAAGGAGAACGAGGAGGAGGTGGAGGAGGCGGCCGACAAGAAGGGAGGACGATAAGGAGGAGGACGACGACGACGACGAAGGCGACGACGAGAAATGATGTCGACGAGGGCGACGAGTGAGGAGAATGACAACGAGGACCACAAGGAGGGGGACGAGGAGAACGAGACGGGAGGAGGATCAGGAGGAGGATCAGGAAGAGGTGGAGGAGGAGCACGAGGAGGAGGGTTAGGGGGAGAAGGAGGAGGAGGAGGAGGAGGAGGAGGAGGGGAAGGAGGGGAAGAAAGTGGGTGAGGACGAAAGGGGAAGAGGAGGAGAAGGAGGGGAAGGGGGAGGAGGAGCGATGCTGTGCAAATGCTTCCCGATTGATTGGCCGCCAACTGAATCACGAAACGGGCGGAAAATGCATGCCCTGGAGCTGGTGGTGCTCCAAGGGAATGGTGGCAGTAGCGGCCTGCCAAGTGGCAACCACTGTTCGGGAGGAGGGTGACTTGAAGGGGACAGAACGAGGACACAAACCTCCAGGCGCCTCGAAGAACAGCACCACTAGTGCTCTTCAATATCTTAGCGAATGGGGGCAGTTTCCAGGCCCTGGGTCCACAGAAAACGACCCGGGGAGAACAAGAACAATCCCTGGGATAGGGGTCAAGAGCTCTGGGGCCTACGTCGCGGAAGAAACGCGGCGTCGGAAAGCTGGGGAGGGAGCCAGCAGGATAGAGGGAGAGAGCGAGAGGGAGGCCAGAGAGGGAAAGAGCCGAGCCCTCCACCGAGGAAGAAGGAAGCTCGCCACCACCACCCCGGGAGTGCAGGATCTGCTGATTTGTGGGATGCAGGCGTGCAGAATGCTCCCCAGTGAGCGTATGCATCGCCATTATGCCATCAACGAACAGGGAGGGTCCTTAGTGGAGTGGCTCCTGGAGCCCTGGGCTTTCCCAGGGAGTCGGTTTCATCCCGAGCCGTGTTCTGGCGGCACCAGGCCCAGGGAAAGGCCCCAGGACCCAGGAAGCCGAAAAAGACGGAAAAGGCATCGGCGCCTCCTTTGATGGGCCTGTTTTCCACCACCACCACCACCACCACCAAAATTTGGAAGGGGGGGGGGTCCTCCTCGTCCTCCTCCTCGTCCTCGTCCTCCTCGTCCTCCTCCTCCTCCTCCTCCTCCTCCTCCTCCTCCTCCTCCTCCTCCTCCTCCTCCTCCTCCTCCTCCTCCTCCCCCTCCAACTTATGGTGGTGGTGGTGGTGGAAAACAAGCCCATCATCCTTCCGACTTCCCCTGGAACCACGCTTCGTCATGGCGACCCCCCCGGCCCCCCACCTGTCCCCCCACGGGTGGCGCGAGTGGTGATCCTCCTTCATCCGATCCACCTGGGCGACGAAAAGAAACGGCTCTTACGCGAGAAGACATGGCGACCTTACGCCGCGGCACTCGCGGGCCGCCAGCGCGGGGCGCACCGCGTCGAGAAGAGGGCGCTCACGCTACATCGCACCGCTTCCTTCCGTCGCTCACCTGTCGGCACGGAAGCCGGGCGCGGCAGCAGACACCGCCAGCCGCTTCGGGCTACATCCAGGGCCGGCCTCCGCCCCCAACCCCCGCCCCGAAGAAAAATCGCCCGGCGCGCGGCCCATCAGGGAAGCGTGCGGACGCCCACCTGGCAGGAAGCCTGTCGGGGTGGACGAAAGGACGGGATAGCTCGGATAGCTGCGGGTGCACGGTTTCCCCCGGGGCCGTAGGCGACCCGAGGAGGAGGAGGAGAAGGATGAGGAGGAGGTGGAGGAGGGGGAGAGGGAGGAGGAGATGGCGGAGGAGGAGGAGGAGGAGGAGGAGGAGGAGGAGGAGGAGGAGGAGGAGGAGGAGGTGGAGGAGGAGGGGGAGGGGGAGGGGGAGGGAGAGGGAGGGGAGGGAGGGAGGGAGGGAGGAGGAGAGAGGTAGGGAGGGAGGGAGGGAGGGAGGGAGAGGGAGGGAGGGAGGAGGAAGGAGGGGAGGAGGAGGAGGAGGGATGAGGGAGGAGGGAGAGGAGGGAGGAGGGAGGAGGAGGAATGAGGGGGGAGGAGGAGGACGGACGCCTGTTGGTCGTAGGGCCATGTCTGGGCTCTCCAGCGGCTGTTCGGGTCGATCCAGACATCCCCAGACCGCTTTCGGCGAGGCGCAGCTGCTGGAAGGCATCCCGAGGCTGGAAAACCGCCAGAAACCAACGAAAACGCCCCAAAACCTCGAGAATCAAACCTCGAGCACCCTCTGCCTTCCACTCTGGGCACGCCGCCCAAAGTCAAACCACCCCGCTCGACCACCCCGAGCCTGCGAGGCAGGCCGCCCGGTGACCTCCGGCGACCTCGGCGGCCGAATGGCCTTCTCCGCTTCCAGGCCCCGCAGCCAAGCGTCGGACGAGTCCCGCTGAAAGCGTACGTCTACAAGACACATGTGGGTCCAAAGTCCGCCGACCCCTTGTGGGTCTCTAGGCGTGTGAGATTATCCCCCCCATAAGCCTCCCCCATAATCCCCCCTCCCCCCAAAAGAGCACCAAGAGGTACGATAACAGCACCGAAACAACAGGAACGATGGCGAGCGCCGTGTCATGATTCGGAAAAGCATCGTGAAATGCAGTCCTGGAGGCGCAACAGTTTATATAGGGGTCGGCGGATGTGGCGTAAGCCTATGGAATCGTCACCTTCTCATGATCATACTTCTTAAGCTTACGTAGTTTGATAGGAATTCTGCGGAGTAGCTGATGCGGCCGTTCGCGTACGGGGTCTTCGAGCGCGCGGCGTGCGGCTGCGCACCCTTCCAGTGAAACCAAAAGGGTACCGAAACCGCTTCTCCCCGGACCCCCCGGGGCGGGTTCTGACCAGGACTAGGCGAACCCTGCCGGGGCGACGAGAGCCTCCCAAGAGACCACAAAAAAAAGCGAAAGCGAAGGAAAAGAGTGGCGGCATCGATAATTTCTCCTCTTCTTCCTCCTCTGACCTGCAGGGCGCAGAGCCCGAGCTGCACCTGCGTGCGGACGCGGCTCGGGTCGTACGGCACCACGACAGGCTCCGCCATCTGGCACGGAGACAGCCTCGCGCCCGCGCGCCGGCGCACGCCGCGGGCGGCGTGGGCACTCCGACGCGGAGCCCGGCCCTGGGACGTGCGCACACCGCCTACAAGCCGCGCCGGCTCAGCGCGCGGCGCGCGCACGGACCCGACCGCGCGCGGCGCGCTCGCCGCCGCGGCCGCAGCCTCGGCGCCGGGCGCCACCGCGGAGGCCGCCGTGGGCGCCTCCGAGCTGCGGAGGGGCGCGAGGTCGCGGGCGAGGCACGCCGCCGCCGCCGCCGCCGGCGCGGGCGCCGGGGCCGCGGCCCGCGGCGGCGGGGCCGGGAGGGCCGGCCGCGGCCGGCCGCCCGCGCGAGGCGCACCACCGCGCGCCGCTGGCCCGCGCCGCCTGCCGGCCGGGCGGCGCCCCGCCGCGGCCGCGCGCGGCGAGGGCCGCGGCCAGCAGCGCCCCGGCGGCGCGCCGCGGGCGCTCCAGGCGCTGCTCGCCGGGGCCGCCGCGGCCGCCGCGGGCGCTCCGCCCTTGGAGGCCGCGAGGCTGCCGCGCGGCAGCGCCGCGGCCTGCGGGCGCGTAGTCCCCGCGCCGGCGCCCGCGGCCGCGAAGGCCCGGCCGCTCCACGCGGCGAGCGCGAGGCAGGCCGCCGCCGCCGCGGCGCACCCACCGAGGCGAGGCTTCATGGCGGGGGGGCGGATCTCGCCGTCTTCCTGGACATCCAGCACCTCGGATGCGTCGAGACGGAGGTTTTTGTTCCTGTCTTCGGCCTGTCAGCCTCACCAGGCATCGGGGCAGCGAAAAAACTGCTGGGGGTGAAAAGCTGGTCCTGGGAAAATGGTCAAGAGGTAAGGGGCCCGCGTCTCGAAAACATCGGGACGCCGGATGTCTGGGTTCGTCCCCTGAGATCTGGGCGTGGCAATATTCCCGCGCCGGGCGGCTCTGCCTTGCTTCGGGTCCCAGGGCCTCTCATGGATCGATGCGGCTCGCGAGAAACGCCGCAGGACGATAGTGTGTAGGGCTCTGGTCGTGATTTGTCGTGATGCTGCAGTTTTTCGCAACGTCGGATCTCAGGGTGTGGTGGTGCCTGGTCTGTGCTGCGTGCGCTGTGGGGTTGGTCCGAGAACGACCCTTCAGCCAAACTGGCTGCGGAGGGTAGCGGAAGCGAGGCAGGACGAGAGGAGAGAGAGGGGGGGGGAATGGTACGAGGCCCATACCCTCGACGGCGCATTCTGTTCAGCGACGTGGGCCCAGAGCTGGAGCTCTCGATCGAGCCCCAGCCCAGGACCAGCTCTTCACCGCGGGCTGTGTTTTATTGACCTAGGGCCTGCGGAAGAAGCCCCTGGAGGCCGGCATGACCACGAGATGGCCGCGCCCCCATTCTGTAGCGTGAGCGCGGGACCGCAATCACACATCCGTGTCGGGAGCATGTGACGTGACCCCACCAGGCCGTGTGACCCCGTGTTGTCCATGATTGCCGCTCCACTACAGAGCACTCTGGGCGGGAACAAAAGTCACGATGTCATGGAGGTTCGCACTTTAAACATTACCCGAGACGTACCCAACACTTTCCAAAAGTGTGGCGACTATGCATAGGACCGCTCAGCACAAAAGAACACTATGAACGATCTGCGGCAGACTTGAACGTTTGGCCAAGCAGCATCGGACCACGTCAACTCTTCTACAGAGTGGCGACTGTTGCACAGTTGACAGCCTGTCAGGGGAGCCGCTTCGTCTTGATCCGCGAGTCCCTCCGCCCAGTTGGACCTCCCAGGAGCAAACGAACGCGGCGACAGTTGCGAAGTTGGCAACAGCTCGCGCTGCAGAAGGTCCCTGGGCCCTTTTGAGCTTGCCACTGGCAGCAAAGCTTTGCTTCCAGGAGGGCAGCGGCGTCGCCTTGAAACCTGCAGCGGGGTCAGTCTTGATCTCTGGTTTCGCGTCAGGCCTGCGCTCCAAGATCGAGGAGAGAATGATGTGGCTGTGAGTTGGTTTCCGTCCCATCTTGACCCCAGAGGCCCTAATCTGGTGGGCAAAAAGGCACCAATACAGCAACTCCCCAGTCCTCTCCCGGGGCGCGTTCTGATTAAGATCTCGAGGCGAATCCAGCATGGCGACGAGGGCCCCCGAGGAGACGCAAAAAGGCGAAACCACAGAAGGGCATCAGTATCGGTACCCTGACCTCCTCTGAAGATCCTTCCTCGGCCGAGCGAGTGCTGGCCACGGGGAGCGGCCTCGCCGACGAGCAGGCGGCGCAGGCTGCCAGACCTTCCCAACCGCTCGCAGGCCACCCAGGAGGCCAGCGAGGTCATGACACAGATGGCCGATTCCCGAAACCCTAAATCTGAGAACGTAGTCATTCTTACTCGGCACGCCGCCGGTTGCAGAGCAGGGGAACGAGGAGCAGCAGCTGCTGCAGCAGCTTCACCAGCACGCCGACGAGCCGACGGGGCTCTCCCATGGTGTCCGTATTCCTTCTTCTCGCGCAGTGTAGTCACACTGTTTAATTGGCTGGCTGCTGCAGCGACACTTGTTATGCTTCCTCTTCTTATTCTTTTTCTGAGTCGTCTTCTTCTGCTTCTTTTTCTTTTTCGTATTCTTACTCGGCGTTTCGACATTGGGCGGAAAGAGGGGGAGGAGCGGGGGGGTCTGGCTCTGGACCTCTGCTTAGCGCGACTGTTTGCAACAGTGCGTCCTCTAGGGGAGACCCCACCTGCTTGAAACAGGCACCAAAAAAGGCCAAGATCTACTCCATGGGGAGGGGGAGGGGGTGCGAGGGCCCGCGCCGATCAGCAAAACAATGAAGAAGAAAACGACGATTACCTCCGCCGCCTTCCGACGAACTTGCGCCAGCAGGCCCGCCGACGTTTTATTTCCACTGGCTCCCGTGGGGGCGCGAGGCGCCTTCTGGGAACGCGCCAGATGACTGGGACGACGCAGCGTTCCTTGTTCGGCCGAGGGCTTCCCAGCCGCTGCAGGATTCCGTCCGAGCGGCTCCCTTGTCAGCGGAGGGGCCCAACATGTGGAAGGCCTGAAGGTTGACACCAACACCAGTATCGGCGGTGTGCCTCCACCGAGGGAAGGAGCTCCCGATCTCGGTGATGGTGGTAC